AAAAGTGGATGATGGCGTATCATCTCTTAAAAATATCTTATCACGCAATTTGCGAGAGACGAAAGGACGAGAAAAATAATGAGAGATGCCACCCCTTTCACCCAACCACCATTCCATGCTGTAGGTGAAAGACATGTCAAGCCTCTATCACACACTCCTGTCCGTCTCAGAGAGTAGAGGCTTGGAAGTGTAAGGAAAGTCACCATCAAATCTAGTCGCTTCCACACCTCTTATTCTCACGGACTTGTCCATCAGATGGTAAAGACTTGGGAAATGATGAAGAGAGAAATAGAATGCTATCCCTTGACCGCCTCCTTTCGCTCCTCTATCTCGCTCCGGCGGCGGAAAGGAGGTAGATGAAAGATGTGGAAGATTTGGAAATGCTCTCATTCAACCTCGGGATTGGCTGTCTCTCGGGCATTTCCTACCTAGATTATTTTTCCTTTCTATATCTCATCTGTCACACCGGAGAATCTCACGTCATTCATTCCTTACAAGATTGTTTGCTTACATTTCTAGTTCTTGAGACTCGACCTACATCTCTCGCATTAATGCTGTTATTATGAAGTTTCCGAGAGCTGGGGCGCGCCCCATAACCAATGAAATAATGACAGTGGCCCACATGAATACAGGAACGCACAAACAGAAGCGCAGAGAGACGGACACCGAACAGCCAAACAGATAAACAGACAACCACACGCTGCAAAAAAAAAAGGCAACCAACCAAACACAAGCACAAGCACTAGCACTAGCACAAACGCCAGCACAAAATGCACAAACACAGAAACCCACAGACTCACAGACAGATAAGGACGCATGCACAGGCACGCAAGTAAGAGGCACGCGTGTACGAGCTTGTACACGCAGACACACACACACCACGCACGCACGCAAGCACGCTCGCAAACAATGTGAGTCCAATGGAATTCAGCGCATGACAAGGTACAGTTGATCTCGGTACAGCTGCATTGGCCCTTAGAGATGAATGTGGATAAAGGACAAAGCACAGCAACGACATGAATGGCCAGGGCTGACAGGAAAAAGGCAGGTGATGGTGTGATTTTGTGTCGGCTACACGGCCTACTGTATTGCAGCCCATCGCTAATTTCACCAGTGTGTTGCACTACAGTCATTATCGCATCGCATTCTTGGAGAACCCGAACCTGTGTTTTATGTGTGTGTGTGTGTCGGCTTTCTGCCGTGCCTATTATTTTGGACGCCCTTCCGAGAAACAAGCGTGACACCCAGGATTTTGAAGGTGTCCAGGCAACATCTGCAATCGTATACCGAGATCAAGAAGTTCTTGGGGAGTTCTACGGCATTGTGAAGATCCTTGGCTCAAACTATCGCGATCGCTGGCCGTGTTCATGAGGGATAAGCCAACATGAACATGTGTTTGCCGCAAACTTGGAAGGGTACTGCCTCGGTGCCTTTCAAGACGTTCACTTGCCAAAGAGGCAGAAGAAGAGAACAACAATGTGCTTTGTTTCAGACCTGATCAATAAGGGTAGCCTGCTCGTGCACAGAAACCCGGAGTGGCACAAGGTATCAAAAGCCGTGCTGAGACAAGCTTCATTGTTTTGCCGGGAAGTATAACTCAAAGACTTTGACTCATTTGTGCCAGCTAAGGAGCTACAATGCAGAGAAGGGTTTCGGGTGTTCAGCTTAGATTTGTCCTGCTTTGCAGTGCCTGTCTTGGGGTGGCAAGCAGAATGCCCAGATTCGGATGCACACCAAGGTTCATCGTTTGTGATGCGCTGAAAAACCAACACGATGGCGATGCGTGGCTCTCGAAAGTCAGGTCTTGCAGTGCAAGAGCCCATGTGAGCTTCGATCAAGTCTTTGGCCTTTGGAGGAACAGGGCTCACTGAATCTCCAAAAACAGGCAACTCCTGATGGGCCAAAACACCAGAATACTTTCATATTCGGAGAGTTCATGTCGTTTGCTGGGTTGTGCTGCGCTGACAGATCGGTAGGATGAGTGTGGAAGCCTGGATGCGCGTGAGACCGTTTTGACAGCCGTCCACCGGTTTGCCTCCCAGAGCATGGTTCAGGTCTACTTGCACAGTCGGCACGTCGGCGATTTCAAGGCAGGCGCTCCCATGCCTCCATTTTGGGGCTGATGAACACCCATGTACCACCTATTTTGATGTTCAGGGGTACCATTGGTGTCAACCACAGCCACCGGCCCGTTCCATGCATTTGGTCACCTGCCAGGTGGGACAGGAGGTGAAGTTCCAGGCGTATCTGCACAATGGCCGGCTCCAAGGCAGAGATTTGCAGGACGGCGTGGATCGCGCTTTTCGGGCGCGTTTGTCCGCACTTTGTGTCGATTTTGGTGCAACATTACTCATTTACTGAGTCCGTGTCGTTGAAAAGAAAAAGCTTTGTGAAAATGAACGCAAGATGCGAGGATGCCACTGGGATGGTTGGGCCGCAGACAGGCGCGCTGGTGAGCAGAGCAGAGGATTTGCAGTTCGGATCAGCCAGCGGCCAGGCG